AAATGGTGAACTTGAGTTTCATGCTCACACATCTTACAAAACAATCAAAGGAATCTTTTGAACATACAGTGAAAACTAGCTCCACATCAATAAGGCTCTCATGCTAATCACCAGTAGGAAGAGTCAACACATGGCACCCATGCATACAATTTCAGCCTCTTTTGCCAAAATTAGAATCCTGAAAAAAACTGGATATAAGTTGTTTTCCTAACCTCATCTACAGGTGTTTCTACTATGCTTCCATTCTAGGGATACTTCACTAGGGTTTAAATTTCCTTAGTTTGTTTATGCTGCTTTTCAACTGCTCCCTTTTCTTTCTCCAATAACTATTTCCTCATTTCTCAAGTTCCAAGTTCCTGCTCCCTACTCCCTTAAGCCTATAACTCTTTTTAAGGATTTTCTTAGTTTTTTTTTTAAATGGGTCTGAAATGAAACATTCATAGCTTCATCTCAATCTCTTTTGGATAGACTCTCTTCAGCTGCTTTTCCCCTTCATGGAACAAAAAGGAAAATAACCTTTGTCAAGTGTCTACTTATTAAATTACCTTCTTAAACTCGACAAAAAATATTGCAGGTGGTAAATTGTTACTCACAGAAATAAAGTGACTTAATGAAAGTCACACAGACAAAACTGGGATTGAAGTACCAAGTAGCAAGCTCTCAAGACTTTCCTCTTCCCCATGCTGCTGCTTCTAAGGCAAGCCATCTTTTTATCCAGGGCACTCGTGCACCTTAGGGATGTTTCCTTTTCTCACCACCATCTAACATTTCTCTTACTCTTTCCTCCAGTCCTTTCCTAAAACTTCCGTTTAAATGACCTTCATGGCCCCATCTGGAAAAAAAAAAAAAAAAAAAAAGATCTTGCCCATTCAGATCTAGAATTCCGTTTGGGATTGATTCTAGAGGTCATTCTGAAGTTGACGGGGACACTCCTCCTTTTCACAAACTAGAGACAACCCAGCAATTGCAGAAGGCAGTTATGTCATTGCCTTCTGCATAAGGAACACTTTGCCTGACTATACGTGTCATCTATTTTATTTATTATTTATTTTATTGCTGAGTTGAGTCTTTGTTGCTGCGCACAGGCTTTCTCTAGTTGCGGCGAGTGGGGGCTACTCGTGGCAGTGTGCAGGCTTCTTATTGCGGTGGCTTCTCTTGTTGTGGAGCACTGGCTCCAGGCACGTGGGCTTCAGTAGTTGTGGCTCATGGGCTCTAGAGCAGGCTCAGTAGTTGTGGCGCACAGGCTTAGTTGCTCCTCAGCATGTGGGATCTTCCTGGCGCAGGGCTCGAACCCATGTCCCCTACATTGGCAGGCGGATTCTTAACCACTGCGCCACCAGGGAAGCCCCCATACGTGTCATCGTAAAAAGGCTTAAATATCATCTCAAAGCAGTTCATTTTAGTTCCCATTAATGTCCTTAAACATGTTGCCCTTCCAGTAACACTGTTCCTTTTTTTTTTTTTAATTGGAGTACAGCTGATTTACAATGTTGTTAGTTTTAGGTTCCACTTTTGTTTGATAACGTTTTTCTGAACAGCACCATCTCTCCAACTACTGAAAGCTGGTAACTTTATGTCTAGGAATTTGAATACTTATTTATGCTCAGATTCATTATGTTTTTGTGTAAAGGTCTTCTTCATCACAGTTCACTACTTAGTTATTCTCCTTTCCTCCAAACAGATATTACAGGAACCCTTCTTTAAAGCCAATCTCTCAAACTGTCATGTCTTGCTCCTCTCTCTTCCTTCAGTTCTCCAAGACACATGGATATACAGTGTTATTTTTAAATCTCCCTCCAATTTCCCATCTTCCTTGAAGCTCTTTGTTCATTATTCTATTCTAGCTTTCAGCTTAATGTAGACAACCACTTTCAACAACCCCGATTGCAGCTGGCAGCACATGCAACCCGAGGTCTAGGAAATAGAACTATTAACTCTGCATATCCACTTTTTTGCCATGTCTATTCCATTGATACTCTTCCAGGGCCTCTTATTATCCTCTATTTCCTGAGCTATGCACGAATAGTTGAGAAACACTGGGTACTTCCCCTTCATTTTCTTCTTCCTTCATGCAAATTCACACAGGTTAAGGATGTGAGTTAGTCAGAAGGCACCATTTATCAGGATGAATCAACTGTCCAAGTAATTAAATAACTCAAATCAGATAGCAAGTCAATGGCAGGGCAAAACCTGCAGCCATTACTTACTGTCCTCATTTTCTAGAAAATTTTATTGTGCTGAGCTTAAGGGATGTTCACAATAATAAAATCAACGAAAATGGCATTTCCTACTCTGTAGCACAGCAATTAAAAAAAAAAGGCAAACAGTAGTACCTAAGATGTTTACCAAGCTCTCTGCAGAGGCAACTAAAATCAAAATACCAACGTATTACCCTTCCACTGTAACTACATAATCATATTAAATGCTTTTCAAATCACACAGAAACAATGCTTTTTCTTTTTGCTGAGTGAGCTTTGGCTTGCTACATGCAAATAAAACATTTAGAAGTCAGTGGATTGACTATTCTGAGCCTGTGTTTCCAGAGCTATGGTCGCACTATTTATATGTGTAAGTACACAAAGAAATTTTCTAATTTAAAAGAGGAACTGAACCATATGTTCTCCTAAGAGAACAATTCAGTCTACCCAGTTGGCATGTTCAATACCAACCCATGCTGCTTTGCTGGTACAATAATAATTTAAAACTCAGCAGAAGTCAAGAATTATTTTACTGACTTCTCTTCTGCAGATTGTAAACAGAATGACCAGCAAAAAAGTTAACAGAAAATATTAATAACCAAACCACAAATAAAAGAGGTCATTCAGTTTTGAGGACTATCATTTATACAGCTATCAGGTTTCCAAAATATTTTCCACACAGTCATCTTTTGGTCCCATCCAATAACTCAGATATTAACAATTGCCATTATGTAAATGAGCCAACAGGCTCACTCTATGCCTGACACTAATGCTTCACCAGCTCAGGCTCTGTCCAACATATTAGGTGTGTGAACCTTACCTTCTGAAACCTAAATCCCTTTACCTAAAACGTTAGGGGATTAGAAATGAAGGCCTGCAACAACAAAATTCTGACTCCAGGTACGGTGCCATGTCTGAGATCAGAATATTCTAACGTAAATTTTGCCTATGATTCCAGCAATATTAACTCTCATAGGTATTATAAATATATAATTATGTTCCTAAAAACTTGGGAAAGTCAATTTTTCCTAACAAACTAAAGGATTCTGAGTCCTTTTTTGTATACCAAAGAAAATTTTGGTAATACAACCATCCTTCAATCTGTTCAGAGCATTATGTTAAGATTTTCTTAAGATTTTAATAAAGCACACATCATAGGTTCATCTGAATCATGAACAAACTACAATCAGATTTTTAATACCTCAGTTTTCAATCAAAGGGTTTAATGTTGGTTAGCTATTATCCATTTAATACATTAATAACACGTTTTTCTTCACGGGGCTGACAATTTCTTTTTAACACACATAACAAACCTAATAAGATGGACATTAACAGTGGCTTTCTAATTTTTTAATCACCCATACCTATAATATATTCAGGTTTTAACTTTGACCAGTTAAAAATTTACCTAACTGCGCTCTTAGAAAAAAATCAAAGTTTGTATTTTTAATTGAAAAGGCATTTATTAAAACATTTTAAAAATGTCTGCTCTATGGAATGTATGTTGGTTATAAAAAAGTTCAATTCTTGATTCTACAAATATGTAACACTCAGAAGCTGCTTCATAAAAAAATTACTTATTTTTCATTATCTGTAGTTTGTTATTTTAATACTAAATTCAGTATTTTAAAGACTAAATTGCTTAAAAATGAGGAATAAATTAGCCGCCCCATTTGAAATCTGAATTACTGTAAATCTTCTAATAATGGTATCAATACTACATATATTTAAAAAATATTTTTAAGTGGCCTGGTTTCTATTTATGAAGTTAACAGCATGCTTTGATATAAATGGTTATAAATCTCGAGGATCAATTTTTAAAAATAATCTTTTAGGTAATGTGCAAGCAGTCTTATGCAGAAATGGGAAAGGCTTCTGCCTAACCAAAGAACACACTACACGAAACACAGATGAAAGAAGAAGAGTACTTCAGAATGGAGCAATAATTAGTTCACATGAACCATACGGGCTCCTACAAGGGCAAATAAAAACCACACGAGGACTTGGATTTCATGGAAATCTCAAACTGAAAAAATTCATTATTCCAGCACCTCAAACTATTTCTGTGCCTATAGATGACTTATGTCAATTCCTTATCTTAGCTACTAATGGACTCTGGGAAGTTCTGGATACAAAGGAAGTCACTGCACTGACAATGACAGCTTTTCAAGTATATAAAGAAGCACAGTGTTCTATCACAGGAAACAAATTGTCACCATCCAAAGGGTCTCTGCTTTTCCCAATCGATGAACAAAACACATCTAAACCAGAAACTAACATCCACATAGTGTTTCAGAGCAAATCTGAAGAAAATGTGTCAACTATAAATTCAAGAGAAAATTTGTCAGATTCAAAATATTCTATTCATAACCTTAAAAATATAGGAACATTTCCACCAAAAATGACTAAGCATGATCCTTGCAGTGAGAAAGACACTGATGGACCAACCAGTGTAGATGGTGTGCCAAAAGACTCAAGTGAAAAAGAGAAAGGATCATGCACTAAGAGTTTCTATGGAGGTGCTGCTGAGTACATCAGCCGTGAACTTGTAAGTGCTGCTTTGGCGGCTGGCTCCAGAGACAACATTACAGTCATGGTCACACTTTTCAATGGAAGCGAGTATCTCCAGAGAGCAAAAACATGAAGACAATTCTTCAGTGAACCAGATGCTAGGATAACATCAACACCACACAAATCATTTTTAAGAATGTAGTAAAGGAAATATAAAAGCAGACTGTGGGTTATACAGTACCATTTATATATGTTCACTGTTTCATGCCAAAAAAGAGAAAAACCAGTACCTGCTTTTTGTACCACTTTATTCCAACCTGAGCACCTCAATATAAAACTAAACACTGGTGAACTGTTTTCCTTACTAATTTTGAATTACTGTAAATGTACAAGTTCTGCTAGCAGTTCAACATTTAAATAGATTAAATCATCTCTGACACATGGTAGATTTCATATAATGAAAATACCTAAAACAATTAGTGCAATATACTGAACTGATCAAAATAAAATGAACTTTGGAAAACAAGGCTGCAAGATTGTTACTAACATATCCAATACTTATGTTACAAATTACTGGTACATTGTTTATTATGGTTCTAGCCAGGTAGGAACAATTCAAGCCCCTTCCTTTCAAAGGGGGAGAGAAGGAAAAAATTAGCTGTTTTAGTAACTGTACATTTTGTATACTTTTAAGCAACTCTTAAATATTACAGAAAAGTAATAAACATATATGGAGACTACAACGCAGTACCCTATTTACAGTACAGCTGAAGATCGAATTTGAAATAATCAAGTTTGAATGTACATAATTGTTAGTGCATTGACTATTTCTATGTCCAAAGGGCACAAAAGCCCCTCCCTACTCCCAAAAAACAAAAGCTATGTAATGGCCAGCAGTGATTAAACAGAAATCACAGACACCTGGTTTGTTTCATTTTTGTTGAAGAACTTACATGTTTGAAGGGAACACTATTCTTTAAGATGCATTTTATCAGTTTTCATATTCCTAAAATAAGACAGTTACATATGATTTTTTTTTTTTTTACTCCATTTAAAAAATAACAGGACTAGCTATAATTTAGATGCCACTGATGTTCATTTTTTCCTCCTGAAGATGTGGGAATGTTTCCTTGTGGCTAATTTGTTAAAATGTGGAATGTGTACTTTAAATAAGGATACTAAGTGAAATTACAGGTGGCTTGAATATCGTAGTTAAGCATAAATATCTTTAGAACCTCCTTCCAAAGAAAGAATTTTTTTTGGAAAGCCCAAATGAGTGAGTTCCAAATCTTTTTCACAGAACTGGCTGGTTAACTGTGGGTTCAGAGTCATCTGTTTATATCCCTGGTGAAGAGAAATGAGTCCCGCTAACATTCCAAGGAAATAAGTGTACACACAGCTCTCATCTTCCCCTTTCACTGCTGAAACATTAGTCAGAGGGTCACATGCATGTTATTAAAAATTAAGTTCAAAACACTTAAAATAATTCTGTATTAGAAACTTGACTATCGTAAGTCTCTTCTTTTTGGAAGTCATACTGGGCTGGTTAAATGCTCCAATTCCACTGTTATTAACAATTAGGAAGCAGAAGAACATTCCAGTTAGTTTAAACTGGAGGTTTAGTTACTACAGCACTGACTCCTGGTTGGCTGCGTGGGTTCAGTAAGGTCTACTCCTCTTCCTCTGGCAGAATTTGCTCCTGGATTCTGTGGTTCATTCTTCGGCAACTTTTTAGCTGAGAGATAAATTATCAGAATAAACACAATTAGAATAGCTGTATTTAATTCTTTATATAGATTCACTTAACAATACCAGAAAAGTTGTACTTTAAAGAAAATCTAAGTAAGTTCCTAAAGATAATGGCCAGCCATTATGTTTATAATAAAGAAGCTCAGCTCCAACCCATCAATGTTCTCTGGACTGCCACAAACTTTCTGGAACAAGTCAGGATATAAACGAATACCATCACCCCAGGAGAACTTGTCCTCTACTGTGCAAATTATTACCCCACATCACAACAGACTGTACCTCCTATTTTCTTCACTTATACACTTTACCCTTCAAACATCTATCATTTTCCTCTCTTGTGGCTGATTAAGAATCCTAATCTGATTCATTAGCAGCTCTTTTGAGATAGTGCCTTCAGGATCAAGTCCCTCTCATTAACAGGGACTTGATCCTGAAGGCACTATCTCAAAAAAACATTTTCCAATCTTGAGCCAGATAAGCATGGCTTGCCACACATTTGGACAAAGCCCCACAACTGGTAGTTATGGCTTTAGCTTTGCTAAGTTCTATGGAGCTTAACAGCTGTTCTCTGGAGTATGGCTCCCACTGATGAGAAAATGTACCAGCTAGATGTAGTCTGCTTGGATCCCAAAGATCCTTGATGTGTTGGGATTCATTAAACATTAAATATCTCTAAGAGCACCGACTGTAAGGGTGGCTAGACACACTGGTTTCTATCAGCCTTGGGGATACATCATTGAGGTAAGACTCTAGCTTTACCTTAGCTGTGAGGTTATACAAAAGCTGAACAAGATCTACCTCAAAATCTAAATGCCTAGTTGTGTTCTGGATCTTTTACAGTTTCTTTGTTGTAATATTCCACGATAGCATTAATCATCTTTAGAATCCTAGATGCTGGGCTGGGCAATGGATCTGGGAGCCAGGAGCACTGAGGTTTGGGAAGAAAAGTGTTCCCTTGGGCCACTTCTCTAGGAATGGCTCTAGGAATGGTACTGTAAATGGTAATAAAATGGTAAATTTCCAGTCAAATGTATTTACAAACAAAGCCCCGCCAGGACAGAGAGTAGGCTAACATTACAAACTTTATTATAATTAATACCAAATTAGGTTTTGGACTAAGTGATCATTTCTCCCTTTGGCATACTTCTGGCAAGGGCTTTTTGTAATTAGATCTGAGTGAAATTAGGAGGCTGAAAGAATTAAACTGGAATGAGGAACCTTTAACTTGTATTGGTTAATTTTTATTGTGTGAAGATGAACTACAACATATCTTCAGGGGGTCTCAAAAGAAGTAGTCTCCTGTCTCCTATCTTAGTGAGTGCTACCCAAAGCGAAGCTGGTACTATCTGCTTTGTATATAGATAACTGCAGCTTACCAACCTGACCCTGAATTGATTAGGACTGTGAGAAGCTAAAATTCCTGAATCAAGTTAAGGAAGATGTGCAATGAAAAAAGCCACTGAAGGACTTCCCTGGTGGCGCAGTGGTTGGGAATCCGCCTGCCAATGCAGGGGGCACGGGTTCGAGCCCTGGTCCGGGAGGATCCCACATGCCGCGGAGCAGTTGAGCCCGTGAGACACAGCTGCTGAGCCTGTGCTCTAGAGCCCGCGAGCCACAAGTAGAGAAAGCCCGCACACAGCAACGAAGACCCAACACAGCCAAAAATAAATAAAATAAATTAAAAAAAAAAAATGTGGTTGTGATTTAAAAAAAAAAAAAAAGAAAAAAGCCACTGAAGACCTTATCAAATTAAAAGCAGATGATAAATTTATTGTAGACTCCTACTAAACAAGTGTACTCTACTTGGGAACCCATCAAAAGTATAAATATGGGGCTTTCCTGGTGGCGCAGTGGTTGAGAGTCCGCCTGCCAATGCAGGGGACACGGGTTCGTGCCCCGGTCCTGGAGGATCCCACATGCCACGGAGCGGCTGGGTCCGTGAGCTATGGCCGCTGAGCCTGCGTGTCCGGAGCCTGTGCTCCGCAACGGGAGAGGCCACAACAGTGAGAGGCCCGCATACCGCAAAAAAAAAAAAAAAAAAGTACAAATATGAGTTCACTGTGTGATTTATTTAAGTTACTAATGGAGAGGTTACAACTCAATTTACACTTGGAGTTTCTTTCAAGGAAAGAAACATTCTAATTTTAGAAAAGTAAATAAGAGCTCTAATACGTAGGCTACTTTCTGACTGAAAGAAATAACCTTATTAGCAAGTCTAAATAAAAGGTACAAATTAAACAAAGCCCATCTGGTGGAGTCTTAATAGCATCAGAAAGGTTTAAAAGTTCAGCCTGATTTGAAGGCCCTATTATCTCCTTGTTTCCCAACTTTTCAGATGTGGTTGTGGGTGTGATCTGTCCCATTTATTAAAAAAAAACAAAACAACTATATATTTGTCTCATAATCCTTCACAACTATGCTGGTATTTCCCTAATAAAATGCAAGCCTGAGTTTCTCAGGAAAATATTTTACACAGGCAAGTTTTTCCCTAAATGAAGCTGCCACTAAACTCTCTCACCTAGTGAAAAATAATATGACAGTACCTGCAGCTCTTATTGGGTTTTCTTTAGCCTCTGAATCAGCTGTTCACTGGTTAATTTGTATGACTTCAGTATAAAAGAATACTTATTTGGGACCAAGGATGTGGACACCCCAGTTAATAATCACTGCTGTATAATAAAAGATGTTGTGGGATGAGATGAGCGCTTGGCACACGGACATTGTGGACGCAGCAGACTGTGAGACCCACCACAGTAGACCCCTCCCATGGGATCTGCACCTGAAAACTACTAGGAGGCAGCTAGGGTCAATAAAAATATTTTAATTGTTGTTATAGAAGAAAGAAGGCTTCAACTTCATCACCTATAATCAACGACTGTGCAACAGCAATCATTATTAGTTAAAAGTACTTAGAGGAAAGGTAAGAGCACAGTGTAGGATCAAATGACCATCGAGGCAATAGAAAGCCTGGATATTGTTTTGCTTTCCCTTGTTCTCTCTGTGCCTCAGTGCTTTGAAACTTTCTCCATTACAATATTTGCGTTAAAACAATTTGTAAATCTGTATGTACAATGTACTTGTCTGTGTTATAGTTGTCAGTAATCAATGATTTAAAAAGAACCTGAAAAATAAACAAAAATAGTGTTCAGAGCAATGGAGAGATGAAAATAGTTATTGATCAGTAAGAAACAAATCTCATCATGTCTATATGTTGCACTGAAAAACATTACTGAGTTTATCTTCCTTTTATGTAAAAACTATAATCTAATAGAAAAACATGTATTTATCCAAATTTTTCAGTGAAATCTTTAGAAAATCTATCTGCTTGAACTATCAGCTCCAAGTTCAGGCTTTCAACTCACCTAGAAGAAACTTAACTAAACTGAAAGCACTGCAACCTAATGGGTAATAATTTTTCAAATTTAACAATATGCCTAACAAAGTAATGCTTCTGGAAGAAATCTAGGATAGTAGTATAATCATTAAAAACAAAACAAAACAAAATTCCAAGAATTAAAAAAAAGACAGTCAAACCAAATATGCCCCCAGTGTAACTTGCTCTACCTTTATTTTTACTGTTTGCAAAAAAGTTAATCTTACCTATTGCCATGAATATTTCATTTACATTCATTGATGTTTTAGCTGATGTCTCCATAAATAATAAACTGTTGTCATCTGCATAGGACTGTGCTTCCTGTTTATAGAACAAAAATTGAGATATATCCTTTGCACATACTATTACTATACCTGCCTTATTTTTGTTATAGAAAAAAAGAGGCTTCCTTATTACTACTCCAACTTGATCACCTACAACCAACAACTGTATGATAAGCAATTATTTATAGTTAAAAGTAAAACAAAGGTAACCACTACGTAGTTTATAATTTCCCTTTTGCCTTAACTTCTTGCACAATCCCATCCTACTTTATCTGGTCTCACATTAAATCTACTTTCAGATGATGAGTTTCGGAGAGAGGGACAACAATCCTAAATATAAAACTCTCTTTGATCTTTATGGCAATTTTACCTATGCTCGTTATTTACAAGGAAGGTAAAGGGAAACCAAATGTTTAACACCGGCTTCAGCCACTAAATGGTACCCTTGTATTTAATTCTGAATGACTTCTACAAGCAATATTTTAATTTTGAATGTCATGAATCATTCCTTTGAAAATTCTACAAGCAGCATTTTAATTCTGAATATGTCATGAATCATTCCTCTGAAAATTCTATTACTACTTTACGTTGTCATGCTTTACAGTTTACGTGTATTATTGCCTTTGATCCTCACAGCTGTTGTGAAGAACAACCAATTATCATTCCAATTTGATAAAGAAAAAAAATGAGTTTCCTTTGAAATGTTATGTGACAGGGCCACTTGTGACTATAATGTAAGTGCGCTATCTGCCTCTCTATGCTGAGGAGGTAACTATCTTAGAAAGAGTAATAGATACTATACCTCACATGGTTATCACCAGAATTAAATGAAACCACATGTGCAGATTCTCAGTTTACTACCTAATAGTGCAAGAAATATTAGTGCCCTTTCTCCCAGTACGTGTACTCCATCATCAAAAAAGAACATTAACCCATCACTGATATTATACATATAATGGCCACAACCAAACTTCTCTGGTAGAGAAGCTGAAGAGCAAGAGGAGGGGAAGTTTTAAAATGTCTAACTAGAGACATTGCTTTATTTTAAATGACAGTACTTTATTTTGCAGCTGGGAACACTCTTAATTAGCTATATTAGATAACATACACACTGGATTTAAGCTTTTATTTTTGAAGGCCCTTTTAAGAACCACCACATATATGTATGTGTGTATGTGGGTATGTATATGTGTGGTGATATATATAGGTAGTTAAAAAAAGTTAGGAAGGATACTAAAGTTATACGTGGGTTGGAGGGATTAGGGTAGGAGGCAATCACCTTTTGCTTTATATATTTCCACACTGTTTGTGAACAATTACTTCTTTTGTAATTGTTTAGGTCGACAAAATCTTTGAATCAACTTATATATTACAATTAAATAAAGATATTAAAAAATTCAGGTTTATCATGAGATTTTATTACATAGTACACATCTGGCTAAAAACTTTTTATCATTTGCATCGTTTTAAAATTGTAACTGTAATTCAAGTGTGGGTACAGAAGAAAAATATGCGCCTCCAAGTGAAAGTTAAATTCAACATACCTGGAAATCGACAGCTCTTTTATTTGCGAGGTCAGCCTTGTTTCCTGACAAAGCTATAACAATGTTAGGGCTGGCCTGCCTCTGAAGCTCTTTAACCCAGTTTTTGGCTCTGGCAAAGGACTCCTGGGAAACAAAGAAACAGCTATTCGGCACAGGCTCAAAGAATGGCTAGGGAGCGTGTCTGTGGGGCGAGGCTTTAAAGACTGTCCAGTGTGACTCCTGGAAAGCAATTCTTAGCACTACTGTAGTAGCTGAGACAATTGCATCTTATTTTTTAAAATCAGCTTCTCTATTTCATAAAAGCTTTGGCAGAAATGTCATGCTTGGCTAACAAAAAAAGATTAAGAAAAAATCTTTTCTATAATTGAAATTCTGAATACCAAAAATGGATACTCAAACAAGTTTCTTTGTAGAATGCATTTCTACTTACCTCGTTTGTGATATCATATACAACTATGGCTGCTTGTGCTCCTCTGTAGTACATTGGTGCTAGGCTATGGTATCGTTCTTGACCAGCTGTATCCCATATTTCAAACTTTACTGTTGTGTCATCAAGACACACCGTTTGAGTTAGAAAAGCAGCTGAAAGAAGAAAATGTCTGCAGTAAGTTTATCATTTTCCTACTAAGATTTTAATACTACAGAAAACACCTAGAAACCTGATATACTGCATACCCACAGTTAATAGTGGCTTTAAATACCTGTAAGATCTATGCTTCAAAGCTAGATAAATATATGCTTACATATAAAAACCTTCATAGTAAAATCACAGCTTGAAAGTGTTTCCTACATTCTTAAAAAGTGTGTTGTAATATTAAATAAGTTTTTTAAAGTTCTTAAATTGTTTTACAAATTGTGTATCTAAAAACTTTAAATTGTAACATGACTTAAGAAATATATATATTTTCTTTCTTTCTTTCCTTCTTTCTTTTTTTTTTTTTTTTTTGTGGTACATGGGCCTCTCACTGTTGTGGCCTCTCCCGTTGCGGAGCACAGGCTCCGGCCATGGCTCACGGGCCCAGACGCTCCGCGGCACGTGGGATCCTCCCGGACCGGGGCACAGAACCCGCGTCCCCTGCACCGACAGGTGGATTCTCAACCACTGCGCCACCAGGGAAGCCCATTGATATTCTTGAAAAACTGGGGGGAAGGTGGATCAGCATACCTATAACTACCATCTATACTGACAACAGCATACCTCTTGCTCCATTCTCCTGGGTTTAACTGGCATAATCTGGGAATTTAGTCCCAGTCCATTACCACTAAATCAATATATTTTTTATATCATTCCATCAAAACATCGACACTAATTTTTATAATCGTTATTACCTCAACCTAGACTTAATTTGTTTAATAGAGATTCAATATTAACTCCTAGCTTTCATTCCTTGCCTTATGGATTTTGTGATTTGTACTTTTTCCACCTGTTCTTTTCTGAGATTTTAATCTTAATAATAAAGTAGCATTTTATAATGATACTCCTCCTTTTAAAATTAAGAGATTGCTGTCACATCCTGCAAAGAATTACTGTATCATTTATTTTCTCAATTGCTTCCTGAGAACAATATGAAGTAAAATGTCTATTATAAGTATGATTCTCTTGGCTCTAAGAATAAACATCAGGAAAAACACCACATGGATGCTTCTGAAAATAAGTTGACTTATAAGAGGTACATGATAATCAAGTGAATTGAACTTTAAACTATAACTCTTAGAGTAAGTTTTTAGATGTTGTTAGCTGCACCAAAGACCTACACACAGCCATTTTCCCCAGCATGCTGGCCAACAGTAAGAACACCTTACAGTTCCTTTCTTTCATTAACTTTGGTAGTTAAACCCTGCTGCTCTATCACTCAATTTTAGTTGGTAAGCTCTTTCCTTTTTCTTTCAGCTCAAGATGTATTCAACTCCTCTGAAACTGGCATAGAATTAAGTTATAAAGTTTTCAAAAACTCTGTCCTCCCATGCAAGAGAATTATGATCCAATCCTGTAAATTGTAGCAGTTTACGAGTGATGTTAATCTTAAGAGATTTACTAGTTAATACCAATGTGCTGAATAAACCAAGTCTCATTTGATTTACATCTCTTCTATATTACACATAACATTTATTTTCTGTGCTATTTTTATTAGGTCAACTGACTGCTGTACTGGCTTTGGTATCAACAAACTATAATCTTCTCAATTTTGCAACCATCATGATTGGAAATTTCTTTATTTTGAGTTAATTCTATTAGGGTTCTGTGAATTCTCACAATTGGCTAGTCATATTTAAAATATACTCCAATTCAAACTTCTTTTACCATCCAAAATTAGCAAAAATATCCATTTTTAAAAATCCTGTATTTATGATAAAGGATACCAAGAAAGTACTATGTCACTTTTTCCCAGTCACGAAAAGTTCTCATGCAGAATCAGTATTTTTATTTATTTACTTTTTTTTTTTTTTTTTTGCGGTACGCGGGCCTCTCACTGCTGCGGCCTCTCCCGTTGCAGAGCACAGGCTCCGGACGTGCAGGCTCAGCGGCCACGGTTCACGGGCCCAGCCGCTCCGTGGCATGTGGGATCTCCTGGACCGGGGCACGAACCCGTGTCCCCTGCATCGGCAGGCGGACTCTCAACCACTGCGCCACCAGGCAGTTAAGAATCCGCCTGCCAGTGCTGGGGACATGGGTTCTAGCCCTGGTCCGGGAAGATCCCACATGCTGCAGAACAACTAAGCCCATGCGCCACAACTACTGAGCCTGCGCTCTGGAGCCCGCGAGCCACAACAACTGAAGCCCACATGCCACAACTACTGAAGCCCGCCCGCCTAGAGCCCGTGCTCCACAGCAAGAGAAGCCACCGCAACGAGAAGCCTGCGCACCGCAACGAAGAGTAGCCCCCACTCACCGCAACTAGAGAAAGCCTGCATGCAGCAACGAAGACCCAACACAGCCAAAAGTAATAAATAAAATAAATTTTTAAAAAATGTATCAAGCGTCCATTCCATCCTTAAGCCTGAAACCTGCACTTTGCACAAAGCTCTTAGGGCAATCTCTCTAAACCTAGAAACCAGAAGAGAATGTCCACCATCACGATTATGTAATATCACTTCAGATATTCTTATAATAATTAATGTAATAAATTATTGGAAAGAGACATTATTTGGAAGAGGCAAGAAGCCTGAAATGAAAATCCAAAGGTGTCAGCTAAAATAAAGCACATAGTAAATTCCTTAAATTGGCTGGAACAGATCAAAGAAACAGCCTTACAAACACAGGCAGTGACCAGATTTCAGTGTTATGCTGGGAGGAGACTGGATCCCTATCAAATTAACAAAGAATAAGAACAATCAATTCACTCAACTCCTCTCAGAAGCCATCCTTCATCACACCCTTTTAAGCAGGTCCTACCTTTGTGCTCCCAGAGTTCCCTATGCAAGAACACGTTTCACACTTTATAATCACTGGTTTACATTATCTTCTCCTAGACTAGGAAGTTCCTTGAGAAACTAGCTATTCTTGTCCATATTCAATATCTAAAATAAATCTCAGTTCATATAAATGTCCAAAAAGTTTGCTGAAGTCCATGAAAGATATGTACAACTATTTGGGGGCTATTTTGACTAGATACAGTTCCCAAATGGGAAAAAATAGGTATTTCAAAAGGCCTCTCTCTACTCAAGTTATTATGTAACAAACACAATCTCAAAGTACCAAAAAGATCTTTTTACCTGGGTAACACCATACTGTTAATGTGATATGATAAAAAGAGCATAATTACGGGGGGAGGAGAAAAAAGACCAATATTAGAGGCCAGTGGAATGAGTTTTAGGGTACAGTCAAAAACACATTAGAACTACTTAGAAGTGCTGTAGTGCCACAAGGGCAGAAATATAGGAATAGGATAACCCAGTATTATAAACATTATATAACACAAAGACCATCAAGATTTTCCAAAGTTCTCAAGGTTTCAAATACTACCAAAGTATTTAACTTCCCCCATAAAAGTCAGTGAAGTACAGCTGACATCTTCAAATCCTCAGTGCTTCTAAAAGTACATTACTAGTCCTTTACAAAGTTGTAAAAATAAACTCTAGCACTCAAAATATAAACTACTACATAAATACTGTAGCAACATTAACCAACCACCAACTTACCTGAATCTGCAAAACCACTTTAATTTATCCAAAACGTCTATTTTCTGGCTAAGAACCATCACTTTCTTAGACCTCTTCATTTTCTCTTCACTTCCATCACCAGCACTAGCAGTTGGTTTTCTTTTCGGGCCCACATTTCACAAAGAAACAGCTTTTATCACTTCGAGAGTTACTGTGTACGCGACGACAAGTAAAGAAAAACAAAGCTGCGTTGAGATGCAGGTGCTGGCCTGTCTAATAGGCTTCCTCTTTGGGCTTCCACGATCAGTTCCTATTTGCAAGCTTGGCAGTAAGCAAGTAACACTTCAGTCTCAGCAAAACTACAAATTACTGAATGACAGACCTTGGGGTCAGCTGAGAGTTGGTGAAACTGTAAATGTTAAACCTGCAAATACCAAAGGCCTATAATGTGTAAGACCTCGATAAATAGTAAGCAAGGAGGAGACACTGCAATACACTGGGCAAGGGAAAGAACATCCAAAATCAATAGCATTAACCAAAGGTTAACAACTCATAAAAAAAAGTTTAAACTAACACCTAAAATGATTCTACATGAACTAAACAGAAGGGCAAAAAAGGAAAAACCAAGGAACCAATATCACCCCAACCCTCAACTTATTATTTTATCAAATTTGATAGAAAAGAATTACTTTATTAGAACTGACCAAAAATCCTATAAGACTATCAGGTTTGATTATATAAAAATTAAAGACTTCAGGTTTGTAAAACATGTATCATACACTCAAAACACAAGGACAAACTCATTTAGAAAAATTTCTATAGTGGATATTATGAGATTAATTTTTTTTTTTTCCGGTACACGGGCCTCTCAGTGTTGTGGCCTCTCCCGGTACGGAGCAGAGGCTCCGGACGTGCAGGCTCAGCGGCCATGGCTCACGGGCCCAGCCGCTCCGCGGCATGTGGGATCTTCCCGGACCGGGACACGAACCCGCGTCCCCTGCATCGGCAGGCGGACTCTCAACCACCGCGCCACCAGGGAAGCCCGAGATCAATTTTTAATATGTAGAAAGCTCATATAAATCTTAACTCCAAAAGCATCAAAGATAAATGTGCAAGAAAATCCACAAAAGGCATGTAACACAGAAAAAAATCAACACCACCAGTAATCAATGAAATCATCCTCACAGCAAAAATAGTTAAGTATTATCCCTTAACTTAGCAAAATTAAAAAATGAAAATAAAAGAGTGTAGCAAAAACTGATGCTCTGCTGGAGATACTGTATTAACTGTTTTGAAATAATTTTGCCAACATGTGGCAAAGCCATGAAAACTCTATTTGTTAACCTAGTATCTCATGGAATCTCTAAAAGATGATATGGGAGCAGGAGCGTAGGGAGAACACACCTTTAAGTTCAAAGTATTTTTGTATTTAATAATAAGAAATAACCTAATGTATAAGTGAAAAGGCACTGATGGTTTGG